AGTATTATGTCTCACCATCTCCGTTGGCATTCCTTTCGCTGCGGAAGTAGCAGTGTTCTTCCTTGATATGAGCACCACTTAAAACAATGTCCTGTCTTCTCTCTGCGTCGGCCTGACCCACTCTGAAACAATCACAGAAGCCAGTTTGAGAGACTGCATACTGCTATCCACATGCATTGTCAGCCATTTGTGCAAAAATGTACAGTTAGTGTTTCTGTAAGTTGAAATGTAACAACTGACTCAACAGAAAGAGTCTATAGAAGGTACCAACAGGACAAAGAGGCGACATAAACAAAAGCAAAATGTATTCATTAGCAGATTTTAAGCCTGATCATAAAAAGACCCAGTAGTTTTCCAGACAACCTTGCCTGGGAGAGTTGCCAGAACTTTCCAAATCCACTGTGGCAGGGTCATTATTCAGGTTTAAGTTACCTTGTAATTCCGTCTTTGATGTAGTAGAGCAGACACTCAGACATGAGAGGATCCTCATTCAGGTTAACCAGGTGTGGGGTCTACAGATAAACACATGAGGCAGACAGTTTACCACAAAAACATTTCTAGAATTTCGCTGCTTTAATCAACATTCATAAGTGCAGAAACTGCCCCTGTTGCTAGGATATTTTCATATCAAACAAATGCTTCTGTCTGCAAATGTAGACAGAAGCGGTCACATCAACACTGTCCTGACAACTCTGGAGTTTTATATTTCACAGAACTACTTCAAAAAGGATCCTGCAAGCTATTCCTCCAAAACACCAACCTTTTTAGGTGAGAATACCCCGTTAAAGTCTGCATAGAGATCGCAAGGCTAACCCGTGGAGCAGTGAGTGAAAGGAGAGAAAAGAAATTATGGAAGACAATCGGATGTGAACAAAGGACACACACACACACACTAGAACAAAGCCTCACAGACTCCTGAAGTGATGACGTGTGTTGTTTCAGGCACTAATGACTCTACTGACAAACAAACATAAACATATCTACCAGTTTTTAAGTCACTGCACTATAGCACTGCCTCTACTTGATTGAGCGAATGGAACATGCCACTGCTTGTAATTTCATAAGGATCTGATAGCACTGAGAGATCTAAGCATCTACAGGAAAAAACATAAGACTGTAAATGATCCAGCAGAGTAAAAGTACAAAACAATGAGCAGAAAAAGTGTAGATCTGGACCATGCACATAAAATGTCTATTAAAGACTAAACTGTCTAAAGTGGGGCTATTTCTAATGCGGGAAATGTAGTTCTGCCTGCTTATTTGGTTAAACAAACCTTTTTGGTGGCAAAACAATCAAAAGGCTCGTCAAATGGCCCTTCATCGCTAAGCTGAGTATGTGAAGGAAGCAAATAAGAAGTGGAAAGAAAGACAGAATGATAAAGAAAAAAACTCCCAGGAAGGGTTCTCATGGAAAAAGACATTGAGATAAAGTGAAGTGATGGAGGAAAGATGTGCTTCACCACCAGTGGGAATGTTGACACTATGCGCTCCCACCCAGTCTGTCATACCTTTTTAGGAGAGAATACACCCAAAGTGCCTCCATCTTCACGGATTGCCACGCCCATCTCTGCAAGCAAAGCCTCCCTGAAATACAGCCGAAAAACATTTGTACACTCAGTGAAAGCATCCTTTATTGGTCTTTTATTCTTGCTGCAACATACACGGTGTGCACTTCTTTTTTCCCCACTAAAGATCGTTTGTACTGGTAACTCGGAGAGGATGAGAACCGATGGTGTGCAACGTTGGAGTAAGTGATTTGTAGCATGACAACCGGCTGAGAATGGCACCAGTTAGACTCTATGGACAGACGGTAGCATGGTTGATGTCTGAGAGGGGTGTTTGTGCAGCCGAGTGTGACGACAAAGGAGGACGGTGAAATGGACAGAACTAGTGCAGAGATGGAAAAAAAAGGTGGGAGAGAAAAGTAAAACAGACAGCACAGAGGGAGATAGAGAGATAGAGAGTAAAGTACTAGGGGAAAACTAAAGGTTGGGTTACAGTTTCTCAGGACAAGTTCTTAAGATGTGATATTTGACAGTGTTGAAAATGAAATGTGCTCATAGAGAGATGGGGATAGATAAATCATGACCAACAAAGAGGAAGAAGACAAGAATATCCTATACAAAAAAGGGGGTAATAGTCACATTTAGCCACACATGCTGAGTAACAAACAAACAAAGCTTCAGAGAGCTAGAATGAGAAGGAAAGTGGCCAATCACAGCATCAGGTGATAATGGATGACAGACATTATCCCTCTATGTGACGTCTGAGGTGTGTCGGGGGAAGTTTCCAATGCTATCAGAGCATTTGACACACAGTTGAGACAGACCGCACACCCCTTTAAGACTGACAGGATGCAATGAGGAAGACTTTAATGCACACGTTGGATAGACACCTTCCCCCTCGGGAAATAAAGATGGAAATGAACAAACACTGTCTGCCTGTACTGACCTCTCCATGCGGATTGCCTCAGTCTTTCGCAGTTTCTCCTCCCAGGTTTCATTGAGCTCAGCAATGATCTTTTCTGATTCCTGAACAAAGGGAAAATTATCAGATAAAAACAAAACCTGTGTAATATAAAACTAACTACTAGCAGTGTATTGAAGGCAGGAACAAGCGCACCAACCTGGATTTGGGAGCTTACCTTTGCCTCATCACTGTCAAATGTTTATGTGTAATGTTTACACTTTCCCTTCACAAAATAAACTTGTATACTCAACGTGATTATGACTTATTTTCTTGCGTTTAGATTCCCCAAATTAGCTTCAGCACTGATAGAGAACACTGTTCCTCACTATTAAAGCCTAAAGCTGATAAGATTGAATCTATTTTGGTCTGATTTCCACCGTATTTGCGTTGGTGCTTGACGTCATTGGATGACAGACGGGACCGGGCACCACGGTTGCCATGGAAACTGCAGCTCCTCATGGCTGTGGATGTTGCAATCTTATGTGCTACCCTATCTACAGAGTGCGAGAGACTGCTGCGAGTGGGAGGAATATAAGGCTCGGCGTCTGCGTGACGACCGATACGCAAAGCAGGCTTTTATTAAAGGCTGCATGTGGCGTAAAATTAAACAGCCATCTTAACGTTAAATAAATGTATTGAACAAGTTACAGTTTCTTCCTTTTTATCTTATTTCACGTTACTGTGAATTTCTTGACTTCTAATAAATTTTGTATATTTAATCATAAAATATAAAGCTGCATCTCTATATTTATATATTTATATACACTGTGGATAAAATACACTTTTTAACAATTAAAAGCAAGCCTGTTGTCCCGTGTGGCATTGAAAAAGTCCGCAATTACTTTATTATTTTTGCCATATTAACCATGAAACCAGCAGTTAATACCAATAGTTTTTCTTCAGGCCTCTATTGGTTAGAGCAGAGGTGTCAAACATAAGGTCCAGGGGCCAGAATTGGCCCAGCAAAGGCTCCAAAACAGCCCTACTAATAAAGACGTCCCTCAACAATATTCAAAGTAATAAAGTAATACATAAACAATTAAATGTCTGCAGTGAAAATAACTGAAAATTTTCTGTGATTTAAGAAAAACTTTGTTTTATAATTACAGGATAGTCTGGGCAGTAACTGAACTTTTGATTTTTATCAATCAATTTAAGTCCAGAGTTTTGCTGACAGACTTCTTTTCCTACAGCTACATTACTCCTTTATGTAGGAAAACTTAAATATTGTTGAAATTATATTTACTTTTCTTATAATTGCATATCTCAGCAAATAAATACATAGTTGTAAATGTCTTATTCCACTAACAGAAAGAGGAGTTCCACTTAAGATCAAAGATCTGTATGTGGGCCAGGGTATAAAATGAGATATCTGGGATACACCTTTAAGTGGCCAGAGTAGGAAGATGGCTGCGGGACTTTTAACTTTCCTAACAACAAACAGTGAGCGTGATTTTAAAAGTGCTGCATACACCATTGTCTGCTTTACCTTGAGTCTTTCAATGGCCTCCTCCCCTCCAGGCGTGGACATGATGCGCTCTTGGATGCTGGTGACTGACTGAAGGCCCCCCTGGTTGCACAGCGAGCCAGAGGACGGCGAGGCTGTCAGGGAACCAATAGGGGCTGTGGAGAAATGGCCAGGGCGTTGGTTCTCTGAGGCTATCAAGTATCTATTCTTATTGTTCTGAATGTCTTTGAGGTCTGAGCCAACAACAAGAAAGAGAGAGGGAGAAGGAAGATAACACAGAAAGAGGAGGGATAGGCCAAGAAAGGTTGGAAGGAATAAAACACATAAAAATGGAATAACGAAATACCAAATAGAAAGAAGGAAAGAAAGTAAGACAGGGGGGGCAGATGGGGAAAGAGAAAGGACAAAGGGGAGGAAAGACCAATGTAAGACACACATTTTATGTTGTAGGGTTTAGACAAACACCCAGCATGATAGTCAGCTACAGACAGCAGCAGTTTTCACTCCAGGCAGTTACGCTCCAACTCATCATCTTCCAGAGAAAACGCATTAGATTTCAGCCTGAGCTTTAATAACCAGTTTAAAGGGCTGCTTTTATGGTGGTCACAATTACAGTGGAGAGCAATTAACTCTGAGCTCTTAATTTGTAGTATGTTTGGAAGGAAGAGGGAGGTGTCACTTTGTTGCTTCAGTGTATGTGTGAATGAGAGTGAACACACTGTGTGAAAACTGCTATCACGAGTATCGGCTACAGGATGGGAGGGAGATGGAGACTGCAAGAAGGTCCAGCCGGAGGACAGAGGAGAGACGTGGACACATGCTGGCAAAGAAAGTTCAGCCTGGAGTTGATTAGATTAATTCACAGCACACGTGCCATACGCACACAGCATCCGCCATAACAAAAGCCACAGCAGCCTCACTCAAAGGTCAGGTAGCTCATGTCAATGTGACCTCAAGGGCCTCTGAGGCAACACACAAGTGAGCTCTTTAGGACCAAACTAAATCAAAGTGATATTAGAAAAGGGTAAATATTCTGGGGGATGATGACTTTCTTAAGATATGGGCTTTTTTTCTCCAAAAAAATAGACCCAACTCTAGCTTGAGCTAGTTAACTATTTGCCCTGCGCATCAGATGGTGCAGAAACATTTTTAAGGTTAAGATGTTAGGGATGCTTGAGAATACAACAGAAAGCACACTAGCAAACTAGTCACTCTACTAACTACTAAAGTGCACAAAGTTAGTCAAATCTTTACACAAACACCTCTGGTGCCTCTATATAGAAATACAAAAATTAAGCACCTTTCCGTCTGTAGCTCTGAGCCTCAGTTTGAGAACTCAGAAGGGGCATTTTAAAGCTTTGGGCACCGTCACCTGCTGGGGATGATTAGTGAAAGAAAACAAAATAAAAAGCAGAACGAATAACCGGGATTAAAATAAGCTTAAAGAGTGCGAGTCATAGGTAGTGAGACATTGTTATGAAACGATGCATTTGCATTTTGAGGCCAGGGAAAACTAAACGGCTACTCTAAAATGGATCTGAGCCTGTAAGTAGCTGCCTCCCCCCTGTCATTCTGAAAAACGTAACAAAAAAATAACAATAAAGCGCAAAGCATGCTAACCTACTGCCATGCTTACTCTTGCCAGTTATAAGAACACCTATGGAAACCTTGCATTTCTGAGACTCTATTAAGCTTTTGGCACTTACATGCAAAGCTGGTAGCAGATTCAATATACAGCTAATGGGGTTCATAAGCAATGTTAGCTACTATAATTAGGGCAAATAGTGATATACAGTGCAAGTCTACCACACATATACACACATTTGATTCCACTTCCTGGACAATCATCCCCCATAGGATCAACTGAGGGGAAGCAGGAAAAGATGAGAAGGGTCAGAGGTCAGCACCAGTAGAATCGGAGGAAAAGATTACAGATATTTTTTATGTTTGCTTGTTTTGGGGGGGGGGCTGGATAAACAATAACAAAGCTGAGAGGAAACGTCACGATATGTTTTGCTAAGTGCTACGCCATTAGGCGTGATCTATGCAGGCATTAGCAAGTAGTCAGGTTATTCATCACTTCAGCTATTAGAAGTCATTAATAGGTATATTATGTATCTAATTGACAAGGCTATGAGCCATTACTCCT